ATTTAGGTTGGGAATTTGCGGTGTGGATGATGTGAAAGAATATTTCACGCTCGGAGATGACGTACAAATCCTGGAATATGACAACTGACTGCAAAACTGCACTTTCAGATTTATTGTTGTGTACCTATACTGCCCATATACAAACCAATCCTCTTTTCTAGCCCTTTTTCAACTTGTCTTAAGCTCTTCCCTGCCCAGATGGGCAGACATCTACTGCTGAAGAAGACAGTTTTAAGGTAGTTCATAGCCTTGGTGATGCACTTACAGCGGGAATTAAGTAGCAAAATTAATTTATTTTCGTACAATCTAAGTCTTAGAAAGCAATAATGTGAATAAATCAAGTCCACCATGAACTAGTAACTAGTTGTTTAAGCTGACAGCTATGCCCTTCCTATTTTTTTGTCTCCAATAAAAAATTTCCTTAAATGCTGAAAATGTACCTTTATTGTTCAATTTTTCAGACATGTTGGCTTTAAAATTGTGTAAAACGAGCTGGGACTCAGCGGAGTTGTTGAATGGTTGTACTGTTCAATTAAATTGTTGTATATTCAGTATTCTAACGTACCTCATGCTACCCACAGGGACCGCCTTAATCTAAGATTGAATCGGACTGGATTTAAATGTATCAAATAATCAAGTGTTGGCATTTCTGCTTCAATTCTACCTCGTTGTTGGAATCCTCAGTTTGTGATTCAGCACATTCTCCGATTTCCCTGATATTTACTCATCAAAATCTTTTCAATTAAACGATTTTTCCATAATTTCGTGAACTGAATATTTATATATATTAAGGTATTGCTGGAAAATGATATGTGAGCTTATCAGTCCAAGATTGTATACAATTTAACCAGAAGCTCTGATCTCATTGCAGAAGTTATTGTACTACTAGAGGCTTGCCTCATTGTATGTTTATGCTCGTCATAAGAGCCAAATATTTTGTTGAATGTTCATATTCATGCACGAGCGACAGTAGTCTAGACAACATAATGCCGTAGCATGTCAAATGTTTTTCATTCCACTGTTTGCATGTGTTGTTCTGATACGCATCGTTAGTTTCAAATTAGTACGTTATAACCATGGTCTTCATCACATTCTGCACCTCGAATATTTTAACGCTGAACGCATCGAGAATGGAACGAATCGCCTTAGATTCAAACTAGGCTAAATTTTTAGCTGCATTTGCGCGGTTAATAAAAACGGACGCAAATGCTAGGACCCACCATTAGATAATTCTAACGAACCTCAGAAAGCGCTTCTTTTACTTAGTCAAACAATAACAGTAATAGAATCAGGCACCAAAATAACGTCTGCTCTGGTTATTTTCTAAATTCTGCTACAGTAGGTTTTTAAAAAATTAATTAAAACAATATTAAATTACTAGAAATGAAAGGTGGACGCTTAGCAGAATTAAGTACAAAACAAACTGGTTTCGGTGTAAGTAAGTTCTAATAGTAAATTAAAAGTACGCGTAAATGAAACAAATTGTTATAACAGATTAGAAAAGCAAATGTTCCGAATGGAAATCATTGTAGTGTCTTCCTGTGAGCTTAAATTGCTTGCTTTTAAAGTATTTAGAGTCTGTGGTGGATCAGTGTAGTCCTGTTTTTGAATAGTTCTTGCAGACCATTTCACGTCACCGCAATGATCTGTCCGTCCACCAGAAGTGGGTTCGTCAGGCCAACTGGTGAATAGTTGATTTAGCGTCACCCAAACCGTAAGACAATATGGACCACAAATTTTCCTCTGATATTTGTTGAAATGATTTGGAACAGAGACCACTTAAACTGAACTACAAATTCCACTCCGAACGGCTGCGCTTGGAAGATTAAATTTCTGTAGTAATACCTCTGACAGTTTGAAGCAGACATCATTTGAACAAATACTGTGGTTCTAAAAGTGAGGAGCACTTTCGCTGGAAGCAATCAAGGTTTCACCAAAACGGAGACACCTGTTTCCGTCGCCCTCATTTAGAGCACAATATGCCCAGCTTTGCAAAACCACGCCTCCGCGGTTTCCTCCTAGGGTTCCAAGTGTTTGTTGTGAATGTGAGTTTTGATTAACTAAGGCCCTTTCCGTTCTTGGCCTACCAAGTTTAATACGTTAACTGTGCTGCCAGTTCGATTAACTTTTTGTACAATTTCATGGATTGTCCATTCTGATTGTAGTGATGATGTATCAAATGACTCTCCTTCTTGTATAGCTATAACTCTGGTCTTATGAATAGAAAATATTAACAACGTTAACACGTTCTCCGATGTGTAGACCATGTCACAGCTGGAAGAAGCGACAATTCATTTTAAATTTCCTCAGATAACAACAGGGTTATGCAAACTGAAAGGGCGATGTACAAGATCTACTGAAGGCTTGTGAATATCATTAGCATTTTCGACCGTTTGCAAGATTCCGTTTTAAAATATGATGCAATTATTAGTGTATTTTGATATGATTTGGCTGGAGAATTCTAAAGATAGTCTAGCAGATATGAAGAAGGGGTAATTTGTAATGTCCCACAAAACTACTAATTAGTAACACGAAAGTTCTGAGAGCAGACTGATTATTGCAATCTAAATTATACAAGAACACAAGATCAAGGTTTCAGAGTTAAGTTATCCAACGAAATTTTGTGAAGCAGAGGAGCGGTTGGCGCTTATTTAAATTTAGACTAGAGTTTCGACAGTAATGTTTTACATTTAAATGCTCTGTCAGGGACTGAAATGTGGATAATGAGTACCCGTGATTGTATGTTAACGACGATGCCTTTGGTTCTATTAATGCATGAAATAATGATGTTAAACTGAAAGGCCTTGTCGGTAAGCCGTGTCGCCGATAATTCCCTAAAGTGTGTAATGTAAAAAATCTAGGTCGGTTGAAATTATAGGAAAAACTGCTAGTGATTCCATTCGAACGTCACGTTTTTGTTGCATAAGAGCAAAAAAATCAGGATGACAAGCCTCATTTATAAGACAAGCTACAATAGCTTATTCCAGTAGTGCCAATTCATTGTATTTGCGTTACTAAGTTTTCTTTCTTGAAGTGTTCTTTAAGCTTCCTTTGTGATCTTAGCGTTCAATCTAAAGAAGTAAGTTAGAGGTGACTTGAATGGTTCTGATCTAGGGAACAAACAAATCACTTTTGTCTTCGGAGTCAAGGGACAAAATCACGCTGTTGAGGGCTTGCTTAAATAGAGTGTCCTAAGATAGGTAAAAAAGTTGCCATGGATGCAGGCAATTTTTGTACATGTCTTCAATATGGATGCAATTTTCCGAAGAGCCCAAGCAGCGTTGTGTCTACCACAATGGTGTTTCAATAACTTGGGTGCATAATATAAAGCTACAGGAATAAGAGGATAGTTCAAAGCAGAGTCTAGTCTAAAAAGGACCTTAACACAACAAACAAAATAATGGATTTTGTCCTAAGGGTACTTGCCAGAAACTGTAATACTGTTAGGCAGAGTAAAATCGATTCACAGATTTTGTAGATTTCTATGGATCTGAGCAAGACATGCTATAGTGGCAATTTATTTTAAAGTGACATGCATATTCAATTTGGTTTGCTTGTCCAAGAAGAGGATAACAGGACCAGAACATAGGGTCTGGGGAATTATGGCGGACCAGGAGTCATGATTTGGTTCGTAAACAGGTAGGGGATTTAGCAAGTTGTTAGATAACGTTTAAAGACTTCTGTAAAATCTTTATAAAAAGCGTTTTACAGCTACGATAAAATGCCAGATTGGCTTCGATTAGTCTAATGAAGGCAGAATAGCCTTAAAAATTAATTAATTGAATAATTTAGTGCATTTTGGTAAGCAAGTATGCACTCATATCTAAATCCATCTCAAGACATGAACGTTGAAACCAGACAGTCACATTTAAGATGATGGTTAAGATGAATAGATTCTAAATAAAAATGGTTTGCAAAATCAGATTCCCTCATTATGAAAATTGGCTGAAAATATATAAAATGGAATTTAATGCGACCTGACATTACTTCAAAAAACATGAAGGCAAAAGAATTAAAGTTTAGTTAGGCACAGAAAAAAGAATTCTTATTTAACCAGAAAAATCGCAACTACGATGATTCCTTTTTTAAAGAAGCTAAAAAAATGGATTGATTTGTTATACGCAAAAATGAGGTACTTTTTGGCAAAGACAAAAGAATATACTAGTTTCTCTTCCCAGATACAGTTAAACTTTTTTTTACGTAAACGAACCTTATCCAAATAGAGTATCAAAAATATGATTAGTAAAATGGGTTAGGGTCAGTGTCTGTTACATTCAACATCAATCATGAAAGCATTCCACATTTTTCGCATATATGTTTGACTCCAAAACGTAGTTTTGTAAATGGAAAATAAATAAAGGTTGATAATAATGGAGTTGTTGAATACTTTTTTTACCTATCTTTAAGTTTATGTTTAATTGCTTGAGTGCACAACCTTGAGCTTTTGGGCGCCTAAGCTTTTTCGAAGAGCGCACAGTGATTGGTTGTCTAGTCTCGGTTATCCGTTGGTGTCCTTAATTTGGCGGTAGGTTTATTTCCATCCTGTTAACCATTCTGTATGACTACTTTTGTCCCATACGATTTATTTGTTCAACTATTAGAATAACTGAAAATAACTACATCAGGAATACCCTTAAACAGCAGTTTAGTTGCCTCTTCTATCATTTCAATAAATGACAAGCTAAAATTTGCATTTGTGTTTAATTTGCCGCTTAATTCGCCTAAATTGCACTACTCTGTGGTTATTGTCCCATCGTGCTAATATTCTCTGCAGTTTCACATATCAGACCATCTGCATATTTCTAACATTTTGCTCTCAATTCTCGCTTTTGAAATTTACATATTTTTGTCCTTCCGACTTTACGTCCGACGCTAAAAGCGTGATCACTCAGCTCAGCCCTGTACTACTTCCACTTTGAGCGTGTTCTTGTGGCTGATATTTGTCACATATTTCATGTAACTCATTGTATTTACCACAATTGGCTTATAGGATCGTCTCAATGCCTGGCATATTTAGGTTTTTCAAGGTAAAATCCTCACCTATACCGGATTTTTTTGGAAGAAAACAAATCTTATTCTATTAGCCTTATTTACTTACTTCAGTGTTGCAATCTGCTGGCAACCTAACAAATGGAGAGAATTTTTTTTCTCCAAATGTGCGAAAGTGTGCTAAGTGGACAGCCTTTCTTTCGACTTTCTTTTTAATTGCTTATATTACCCTGAGGTCATGATTTTCTCCTGACTGACGACAAGGACAGCTAAGACTATCCTGATGCGCAAAGAAGTCATCGTGTTTTTGTGAACACTGTGTAGCTTCGATGCCATTGGGTAACGCATAACTGCTTTGATTTCAGCCGGCGAGTGGCATCAATGTTTGGCTGTCATTGCCTCAGACGAGTGAATTCCCCACTATCTGCTATCGCTTGCTTTTTTAATCGGGTAACTTCTTCTTGAAGGAAATATTCTGCCTTTTCCCCTGTGCGTGACTGCCTTAGCACTGGTGTTTAATTGAAGGAAGTCGTCTCGTTATCGATTCCTGTCTTTAGGTTAGCGATCGTTCCCTCCAAATTACCCTACTGTGATATTGGTTGTCGAAGAAGATTGACTGTTGCCTTTAGGGTGTAATTGCTTTGCTTGTAACTCACGTTGCAATACTTTGTGTTCAAAGCTTGCGATATTTTTTGCCACGTTCCATTTTTCCTATCTAGCAAGGAGCTACAATGGCACCAACACCTGTTGTGACGGAGAAGGTTGAGAAACTTCGAAGTCAAATCAACAATGCTGCAGTTATGATATTTACAAAGAGTTACTGCCCTTTTTGTATCAAGGTACTCTCTTGTACATTAAGCCTACCCACCTTTACCAGGTCAAGGAACGATTCGACAAATTGAAAATTCCATATGGGTTTCTGGATCTTGATTTGAAAAGTGAGTACAAATCAGCGTCATGATAATAAAACATAGAAAATGGGGCCGATTATCAGGCAACCCTAAAAGAAATCACCGGCAGATCTTCCGTTCCACAGGTCTTCTTTCGCGGAGAGTTTATCGGTAAGTTGCGTAGCCCCGTTCGAATCCTTCGTTTACTTTATTGCACTAACTATGTTACTTGCAAAAGCATTACTTTTTAATTGGATGAAGCCGCTATGGTCATGCTTTCGCCCATAGAATTGGGCAAACCACCCACGATTCCGAGAAATCTTTCTCTATTTTCTCTGCTAAAGCCTCAACGTCAACTTGATGATGTGCGTTCTTAAAATCGCTTGGCTTTCTCCACCACCTTCACTGTTGTGTGTTCGAATGCCGATGCTAGTGACCTCCCTTCTCTTGCTCTAGGTGGTTGCGATGACGTTATGGCAATCGACGACCAAACCATCCTGAAGAAGTCAGCTGAAATGAAGTACGACTACGATTTAGTGGTAATCGGTGGTGGCTCTGGCGGATTGGCTCTAGCCAAAGTGAGTTTTGCCCTCTTATTGGAAGCGTGAAGGCCGTGGTCAAGGCGCGTGCTCTGGAATTAGGTAAACGCAGAAATTCTTTTCCAGGGAGACACGACCTCGTTTGCCTCGATGCCACGTCTCATTGGTTCAATCTCCTGCTACTAAGCCTATAACAGCACGGCGAAATAGCAAATTCCGTACAAAATAGTCGGTAATTTTGTCTGTACTAATAAAGCCTGCCCATGCTGTAGTCGTCATACTGTGGCAGTCTGTGTTATCCCGCTTCTTGGACTTTGTAATCTGTGTCAAGGTATGTGCGTATCCGTTCGTTAGGAACCCCATAAATGGGGCATTCACCTTTACGCAGATACCGTCAAAAACTGATTGGGCTTGACGATCAAATCGGGGTCACCGGTCGTTAAATGAGAAAGCCCGACTCAGTATTCACTCAATTGTTTATTATGCGACTCAACCAAATCACCTCTTGTGCAAGGTTGCGACTGTTTGCACATCACATACACTTGGAAAGGACTGCAATAACTGCTTCTTAGCCTTCCTAGCCTGCGTCAAGATAGGCCTTTATAGGATCGTCAGTGACTTCCTAAAAGTTACAATCTCTTGGACGTAGAAGCCAGTAGAATTCATATCCGAACAAAATACATGTTGTGCGGACTTTCACGCGTCGCAAATGGCGCCAGCTTTAAGGGTACTTCGCTGGCCATTACGATGGTCGAAACTTCACCCGCGTCAAATTGTTTAAATCAATGGGTGCCACCGCGTCTGTTTGACCCAGCAACGAGTGTTCTTTGCTTCCGGAGTTAGTGGTAAGGCTCCTCAGAGCGAATTTACCGTTCCACGGCGTTGATTCTTTCCAGGTGCAACTGCGAATAGCAACGAACTGGCCCGTTTCTTAGTCCGTGCGCTTACCCTTTTCCTCTTCACGCGGTCGCACCCTCATAAGCCACGTGCTGGCAGTGCAAAAGGCTACCGTTGTTGTCTTGCCTTTCACGGCGTCTTCCACTTTGTACTGCCAACAGACTCGTGCCATGCCTTGAACCGCGACTCCTTGCCATTTTTACTTGCCCATCCATGCGAACTGTTAAGCGGCACTTTTACTTTTTCAGAAATTTAACTACGAAGTCGTTTTTGTTGCTCAAGCAACCCTGGATCCTCTCGGCAATAATTTGGCCTCGTTTAAAATTATATAAATATTTTTGAAACTAGGAATCTGCGCGATGCGGAGCCAGGGTCTCTCTCCTCGACTTCGTCCTACCGACGCCGAAGGGGGCTACGTGGGGCCTGGGTGGCACTTGTGTCAACGTCGGTTGCATCCCCAAAAAACTCATGCATCAGGCCGCCCTCCTGAGTGAGTTTGTGATCGTCTGCTGTTGCTCTTGCGTAGCATGACAGGGCCTCCCCTCTCGACGTAGTTCAGAAATCGTAGCACCGCCGGCCGTTTTTTCGTACTACAGAGTACTTTGACCCACCGCATTCTATGCAGAACTTCCTCTCGTGTATAACGACAAGTCGTAGTTGTCCTACTTATTTGTGTTACTACGCCGCAATGGTCGGTCAGCCAAAAATACCCCCAGTGGCAATGCTTTTGTTAGTCAAGTCTACCTCTGCACAATCTGTATTCATCTGAAATATTCCTAGTGATCCTGTGAATATCTTCCTATTTCCGAAAAATCTCTAATTTTTCCCACAGACCACTACATGGAAGACGCCGCGGCCTTTGGATGGGATGTCACCAAAGGCAAGTCTAATTGCTCTTCAACGTCTAAGTCGCGTTGTCGTTTGGTTACACCACAGTGGCTCTCTGCTGCTGATGATCTTTAGTTATCTTCGATATGTCGGCCTTGAATCTGTGAAAATCGATTTCCTTTTCCAATAGGTACACATACCTGGGACACCATGGTCAGTGGCATTCAGGACTACATCCATTCCCTTAACTTTGGGTACCGTTCGGCACTCATGAATGTCGGTGTCAAGTACTTGAACGTGATTGGTGAAATCTTGGACGAGCACACCATCAAGGCAAGTCGCGTTTTTACTACATCTGGTTGAAAAGTTGCGGCGAACTTCCCAGGTTGACTTCTGTTAGGTCTTGATACAAACAGACCGAGCAATCCAAAAAGACGTGTCTTCCCGGTAGCCCTACGCACACTCACCTAGTTTATAGCTGCTGCCATTAAAATGGTCCATTTAAACTCCATTGGTTAGTTTTCAAATCGTAAAGCTACTGGGCTCTAAGTCCAGGAACAAAAATGTGGAGGTCCTTTTCGTATTTTTTTTCCGCATAAATACACGAGGCCACTGTAGTCTGCTCAAATTCTAAGGCTACTTTCACGGGGTTTTGCTAAAGACGTCTGCATTTTCAATCGCTTATGAAGTGAAATTTCTGCGGTTAGTGGCATGGTGGAAATTGCGTCAGAGGCCAAGTAACCTGTCGGTGCCAAGTGCACTTGGGTGATGCTTCACACGCACTCTTTTGATGTTTTATGACTCGCCATCAGATGATAGGAAAGCGGTTGGTATTCACACGCGCTTTTGTCTATTTTGTGGTCTCGCCTGGCGCAGATGTATGCTTAAGAATAAGAATCTGTGGAAATAGTGATTTCAGGGGGTCAGGGTAAGAGATAACATAGGAACTGTGACCCAAAGATTGGCCTGTCAGATTGAACCCCCATTGGCGCTCCTGTGCCCATCAATTTGACCCATACCAGGTTGTAGGTTGTGACTGTAGTCCACGTATTTCGACTTACGGGGAGGAGGTTCTTCCGATGGTACACAAAACATTTCCACTAACTGAAAATGAGAACTGCAAGGTGTCTCCAAAGAACCTACTCCAGTGGTGCCTTTTCGGCGGTCAATATCAAGACGGTGGTCGCCAATGTCGCATTGTGTATTAGGCATTGCATGTAGCGGGACTGACAAGGTGTTGTTAACGGCAAAATTCATGCCTATGCGCCCTCAGCTTAGTGGGGACAGGACATCGGGCTCTGGGGCTTGTCGACGGGCACTTCGTCACCTTACCCGCCACGAAAAGAGATGAGTCAACCGTATACGTGGCCTCCGGAAACCCGGTCAAAGGGCGGATGCACACACGAGCTAGTGCGTGGATGATGCGTAAGCATCGAGTAGGGTTAATTTACTGACAGCTGTGTGTCTGCTGACAAAACCAAAACGTCGGTTTCGGGGTCGTTGTCTTTGTTCTGATCCTGCTGTCTGACGGACGCCAGTGTCACCGATTCGTTCGATATTGTGCTCGTCTGGACGAATTCCGCACCAATTTTCCATGAAGAAATCTACTTGGTGAACATTAAGCGTCCTTAATGCCTGGTGACTTTGCGATAAATCAGCTTGGGGTCCTTATTTCAAACGCTTCTTTTCCGGCACTTTAGACAACAAACAAACAGGGCATTGTGAAAAATATAACAGCCAACACCATCGTTATTGCCACTGGTGAACGACCTCGTTACCCCCCGATTCCTGGAGCGAAAGAATTCGGCATTACGAGGTTAGTTATTTTGCCTAGACTCTGTGTTTTGGTTCCAGCAGTCTCTTTACGTTGTGGGTTCTAAATATCCTGAAACAATTTTCGCTGCGTGCGATGTTTCTTTGGCCTGATACTCAACCAAGTAGTGGTGAGCTGCATGTCATGTTGACTATCCCTCTGTTTCCAACGAAATTCGTCCTATCTCTTGGCGTATTCCTCTAATCTGTTACGTTTCGTGCGTGCAAAGCACTAATTCTCTCCGTACTTCGCTTTCAGCGATGACCTCTTTTCCCTCGACCACAACCCGGGCAAGACGCTGTGTGTGGGCGCCAGCTACGTCTCCTTGGAGTGTGCTGGCTTCCTGCGCAGCATCGGCTGCGACGTGACCGTCATGGTGCGCTCCATCTACCTGCGCGGCTTCGACCAACAGATGGCCGACATGGTCGGTGCCTACATGGATCGGTACGGCGTCAAGTTTGTCCGACCCTGCGTTCCCACTTCGGTGAGTTTGACGCCTGTCCTCCACAACAACTCCTAGCCCCATGTGGTGTCTGCCGTGTCGTGGGACTGCGATTCTCTAGGTTGTCCCTCCTTCTTTCCATTTTTTTTTCGGTGGCGAAATCGAGCATTTGTGGAACGCGGCAAAGGCCTCTCTGTCTTTATTCTTAAAATTTACCTGAAAATCCTCGCCTCAGTAACCCTTCTGAAACCCCTAAACTCAAGCAGTTTCCATAAAATATTCAAACTTGTCAATAAGCAATACGTTTTATTCAAAATTAAGTTACAGTAAACACGTGACGAGCAGCACATAGAATATGCTGCATGTGCAATCCACATAGGATGTGAAATGTGTCCCTGGATTTGCTTGCCGCATTGCCTGTCGTGAAGAGCTTACAAATAGGATCATCGAAACGGAGATTCCACGTTGTCCACAATGCTCTTGTTGTTTGTCTCTGCTCGCCTTCACGAGCACCACTTCCAAACGCTCAACTTGGGTTCAGTTAGCGGGAAGCAAATAAGCGTACACGTCTAGGGCAGTGGTTAGATTGAACCCGGGTCATCACCACGAATGACTGAAATGCAGAAGCCAATTTATCGCCGTCAGCCTACGACTTGCCCCCAAGAAGTTTTAATGTCGTCGAGCTTCATTTTCATTCGTCCTACCAGTCCAGTAATTCACACAGCACCACGGAATGCCCTCGTTCGAATACAACGTTGGTCTCCTCCACATTGTCTTCCACTTACGACACCAACGTCCGTGGTATTGTGGAAGCGAATCGATTATACTGGACTACTTACCAAATGCCAGTCTATTTCGGGTTCAAAAACGCAGCGTTAATTTTAGTTAACACCCAAATATTGCTGCTCTTGAACTACGTATTCACGGGCATTGGGCGACACCTCAGTTGTCATGAATTTCCATTAAGAAGCACACGATGGGCGTCGTCCGAATTCCAAATTTATATCATTTTTCTAACGTTTTGGGCGTGTACTGGGCTAAAATCGACGTGTGACATCGGACTTGCGATGTTGCCGTTACTCACCACTCCCTTCGACTCTCGATTTTACTGAACTGACGTCATTTGCTATCATTTAGTAACCAGCTCCTCCCCCCTGACAGAGCTCACTGTGCTTAACCGATTTCATACTTTTTATACCATCGGTCATCAGATGTGTAGTGACATGAAAACGGGTCCATTGTGGTCCCACAATAACAGTGTATTTGCTAAGTTAATCCCACCTCCCTTACATGATTTTTTAAACTCAGGATGCGGATATGTATCTTCCAATCGCATTAAGCCTTTGTAATGGTTGCTGGATGTCACCTCATTGGTTATTGCGTGTGTGTGTGTGTGGTGTGGTAGGCTTGACATCCAGTTGCAAAGTTGTTTGTTTCCACAGTGGGTGGCACTTTGCCTGGGGATTTACGCTCAGGCCCACCAGACACGATGCGGCTGAGTGCGAGGCCGAATTTCATGCTTGGCGTGTTTTGCTTATTGCCTCACCTTCAATTCGTTGTTTCTCGATTTCGGCCTTGCCATTGCTGATTGGGTAAAGTGCATAATTGCCACCTCGTAAGGACACTACGGTGGTTCCCTACGAGGGTCAAGTCGGGCTGCTGTCAACACTTCAGCTGTAGTTTACAGACTATCCACTGGAATGGACTTAAGGACCACGGGTCAGCTGTGGGTGACTAGTGCTTCTCAGGGTTCAAATGCAAGTTAGCACTGCTGCGTTTGTCGAGGAGGAAACCGTGTCTAAATCAATGGATGGGGAGTGTTGATTTTCATTTGCCGTTAAAACAGCTCGCTGCAAATATTTAGAAGTCCAGTTTTCTGCCAACATAACTAATTCTCTAAATAAACGCGTTTTAAAGGCATTCTCCTTTCCATAGTTCAGTAGTGGTTTGTTTTTTGGCATTCGGGGGGATGTTTCAATTACGCTTGACCTCTAGCACAGGCACCGACACTTTTGTGAAGAATAAATTACTTTCCCTCTCAATAACTGGGGACCGCCTCAAGTAATCGAATTTCTGTTTTATACTAAATCCTGTCGACGAAATTGGCTATCTATTGAATCTGGCCTGACCGCTTCAGTGTTTTTGGTGATGGCAGTGGTCATGCTTTTGGATGTACATCGGCTGCCTCGAATTGCTGTTTCCAAATCACTCTGCTAACAGCACTAATTGTCGTTTTCAATTAGCTAAATTGTTTGGCGTCAGTGCTTTGTTGCTATCATTTATGAAGCAGCAAATTGATGCAACCTTTTCGTATTCGTGCTCTCAGGCACTTTTTTTACAAGGATTTGGCTAGATTTGAACATTTGGTGAAGTCTCGAAATTGACACAGAATCTATCATCCACAGATAGTTGACGAAATCGCAGCATGGAACGGTTTCGGTTGTTGTAACGCACACGTGTCATGATGGTAGTCAATTTGATCACACTGCGCCGATGTGTTGCAGACGTGGTCCAACGTACCTCTTGTCGGTGTCGCGTGCATGTGCCACAGGTGCTACATTAGCAGACTCGTTCCACGAACAAGAAAACGCAATACAGCTCTTCTTTTCAATTGTTGTTCTTAGGTTAGGTGCTTGGAAGAGTATGACGCAGAGACCAAAAAACTTGGACTCTACGAAGTTGAGGGTAAACACGAAGATGGGACTCTTTTCAAGGATACCTTCAATACCGTGAGCTTTATTATCATTCATACTAAAATGTCGTACTTTTTATGTCTACGAGTATTCCTCCGTATCCCGTTTCACCTATCTAGGGTGTTGTAACATTTTTCTACAACAATGTAAGTCAGACCGACAGACATCAACCACGTAGCTGGTCAAATTCCCCAAACAGATGCTTTTGGCAGATAAATCACGCATGTCAGGGGTGCGAACGCGCACATTGTTGCAAGCCAATGGCGGAAAGGGCACCTCTGTTCTGCCCACTCACACAAGGAAGTTGTGCTTAAATCTGGTTCAGTTGAGGGGTTACAATACGTTTTTGCACTTGACAAACGGCTAACGTGTACCCGGGGATGTAGATACGGCATGACGAGGTGAACACGACTAGACAATGTCTCGTGGTAAGTCTGCGGTTGCGTGCTGAAGTGTAAACGCAGGCGAACATTCAATTATGCGTTCACACAATCGCTACTGAAAGTCAGTTGGTTCGCGCCAACCAATGGCCATCGGAGGGCATGTATCTGCAGCGATCAACAAGCATTTATTGAAGCCCTTCACCACACGAAGTAACCCAGGAAGAAAGTAAGTCCAGAGATGGCAGGTGCGACCGTTTATTAGATAGCTCAAAGTTGTGCTCGTACTTTTACAGTTAGGTGGACGTGTAAAAATAAACACCGGCGTCTGTGAGGTCACATGACTAAAGCGGGTGGTGGTGGTACATTCAGAGGGGTTAATGAATCAGCGGCCTCAGGTGACTGACGGCCATGCCGTGAAAGGAGGGGACGTGTGTTGGAAGCTGCGACGACTGGGTTATTGGACATGAATCAACACGATTCACTATACATTCTACCTCAAGATTACCATTTAATAGGACGCAACTGCTCTCCCAAGGTGGAATGCCCATTCAACCAGAGCTACACGAGTTCCTAAGTTGATGGTGCCTGGTGGTGTGTGCGGTGTGGTCTCGTGTGCTTATCACTTCCTCTTACCCAAGTCGTGCGTCTTGTAGGTCATCTTCGCGGTGGGTCGTGACCCCTGCACCACAAGCATCGGTCTTCAGAACGTCGGTGTTGAAACCGACAAGTAAGTCCAACGTCGTCTTACTTCTTCCGCCTTTTGGCCCATGCCCAAGTTGTCGTGTTTTATGAATTCTTGATAAGCAAAAAAACATTACCGCATGCTTAAGCAGTGCTCTGTGCTTTTTACAGGTCTGTAAAGTGTACCAGTTTATAGTTTACGCAACTTCCTCAAACCTCCATTATTTTCGCTATGTATTTCAGTTATCCCAACAAACCGGTATTTCGTGCGTTAGGTGAATGTTATCTGTAGCAGAACTAGAGTACTTCAAATGTGGAAGAGCACAAAGAATTCGTGACAGCATTGCATATCTAGCGGCTTATAAAGGGTCTTGTAGTCATTAATCTCTCTCTCGGCAGCACCACAGTTTAACTCAACGTTCACACCCAGTTCACGTTGAAACGCATTTCAGCCAAACATCAGTCTACTTACCACATGAGCTGGTTGCGGTGTGCTTTGTAAACCTGGATTCGCGAAAACCGCCTTAGTTCTTTATTTGTGAAATGGCTATTTGCCGCGAATTTGCAATTAGCACCGCTTACGCACACCTTAATCACTACACTGATTGCCTCTGCTCTGTATCGCGCTGCTGCCTGCTTCTTTTGGTAATGCAGCCAATAACGTCCGAGTTCGAAATCACATGCTTTATCCTCTACCATGCAGCCCTGTCGTTGAAATTTTAGATTGTGGAAGACTGGCAGGGTTTCAGAGGCTTCCATGACCCGAAAAACATTCACACCCATTACTTATGCTGACATCCCTCGTCTTCGCGTATTGCTTGTAGTGCGTTCTGACGAGTTGATAGACTATCGGTGTTATACAAGTACCATCTAACAAACCATTTCACCTACCAAAACTGGCTTGCTCCCGATCACTTGAAGTAGGTCCCACCAAGTGTGCCTCATGAGGTTGCTTTGCTTCCAGTAAAGCATCTACTACGCCGTGGAATCACCTGTGAAATCGTGAAATCGCTAGAGAGAGAGAGCGACATGGCAAGTTATTCACATGCCAGGCTGGGGTGCGCGTCGGTTGCATTGGTATGTTCGTGAACCGTGGGGGATCAGCGTGCGTGCAGGCATTGTGGAATTGGCTTGGATCAGTGGTCGCGTACACAGTTGCCCAAACGCACGCTGTTTGATGTATTTTTCCATGGCAATGCTAGCATAATGTTTTACTGACTGTCTATCAGTGTCTTATTTTCCGTATTCTCTTGCTGGCAGAAATGGACGCGTTATTGTGGACAGCGAGGAGCGGACAAATATTTCGAACATCTTCGCCATTGGCGATGTGAACAATATTGGCTTCCAGCTGACTCCTGTCGCCATTGCAGCAGGCAAAAACCTTGCTCGTCGCCTCTACACGGCTGATGACTGCTTAGTGAGTGCTTTTCCGCTGTGTTCCACCACGTGTATGCACATTAATAAATGTCAACTGGGGATTAACATCCTGTGTACTTTTGTGGCCTTCCTCCTCTAATCACGCAACATTTTCACTCACGAAGGGAACTAAGGTGTGCGTGTGGCGGTTTGGCTTCCTTGAGAGGTTCTTCTTTACCCACCCATAAAATGTGGGTTTGTATTTTCACCGGAGATGGACAGTCCTATTACCCGTTTAACTTTCTTACCACGTCTGGTGCTTCTTAGTAAGCACTTTGACCTCATAGTAAGCAGTCTCTTGTATTTGCACTGTACGAGTCCTTGTCCAATCAACGCCTTGAGGCAACCATTTGACTGCGGTCGCCGTTGTCGTGCTTCTTTCAGACCGACTACACCAACGTTCCCACGACAGTCTTCACTCCGCTCGAATACGGTTGTATCGGTCTGTCCGAGGAAGCTGCCATCGAGAAGTTTGGAACCAAGAACATCGAGGTGCGCTCCTCTCTTCATGCTGTTCCATTCCCACCACCGTGGTCGGGGCCCGAATCCCACATCCGACCCAATTTCTCTTCATGTTTGGTATTCTTTTTTTCCAGGTGTTCCACTCCCACTTCCATCCACTCGAGTGGACCATTCCACACCGTCAGGAGAACACGTGCTACGCGAAGCTCATTATCAACAAAGCAGATGTGGGTCACCATTTTTCTCATTTTTTTTTCGTTGTCAAAGTCCATTGACACGTAACATTTCACGCCACCAGCTGCCAATCTGCGCAAGGCAGTAGCGAGACGTCTCCACGTCACTGAAAATCGTGTGTGTGATTAGCGTGGTGAATGCACTCCTGCTGTCTGGTGCTTTCGTCGATCCAAACTCCGTATGGTTTGTTGTAGGCCCCAGCATGTGGTCTTGAACCACGCCGGGGCCATGGAATTAACCCTGGCCCGATTACGCTTGTCTGATACCCGCGATGAAGAAAAAGATCGGAGAGGACGTGGACACAACCGTTTACTTCAGAGCTCAAACACGTTAGTGTCGTTGTGTCATGTGTGGGGTTTGCGCGTGTGTATTTACACCTCGGATGTGTGAGTCATATGTGCGCTAACATCGAGACCTAGGTGTGAGGATACTCCAAGATAAATATCGGAGTGTATGAGGGGGGAGTTTAGGATCCGCGCGATCGGCGACATGCCGTGAAAAGAGGAATCCTGTGTCGGAGGCGAAGCGATCGGATTAAGGGGTGTGAATAAACACGATTCACAACAGGTTCTTAGCTTATTGTCTGCAAGTAGTTCCTGAATCACCCAGATGGCCACACGACATCGCTCCGTAGTCTTCACATTTCCTGAACTAGCCGAATTTGGTTTGATGAAATTAGGCGTAGCAGTGCCGTTTGTTGATTGTTGAGGCAGGTTCCTGTTTGAGCCAAGCAGTTGGCACAACCAAGTCTCTCTCAGTCAAGTTTTTCGTGTTTGGCGTTGCATTGGCATGGCGTTGTTTTGTGCCTTGCGGTGGCATCAAGCTAGCTACTAGCTACTCCGGCGCGAGTTATGCCAATAAACTGCTCGACAGTGCAACGCGTGTTCTTGTGATCACATCGTCTTTGCTTGCATATTACCATAATTTGCTTGGGCTGATGCGCCTGCGGTATTTGAATCAGCCGTTTGCTGTATTGTTTCATCTTTTATCGTCATAAATTTGATTAGGGTTACCGAACAGAAATAAACGTAATTATTGATGGTTTACGTGGCTTTTTCGAAGCCGATTTCTCGACACTAAACACAGTACCCTGGTTACGTGTCCAGATCTGGGGCGTTAACTGGCCAAGTTTTCGTTTAGCATGCATCTTTGGCCACATTTAGCACCAATTTATTGACTGCCGGAACAGCGTTTTGTCGTCCGAGTGGCGCCACTGTTTCCCTTATTATTTGCCAAGTACTCGATTGCTGACGCCAATGCTACGCGCAGGAGGCAGATTAGCGCGGAGTAAAGACTAACCCTTGTCGTGGTGTTATGCCTTGCTCTAGGACAATCGCGTTGTTGGCTTTCACGTTCTGGGTCCCAACGCGGGTGAGGTGACCCAGGGCTACGCGGTCGGCATGCGACTGGGCGCAAGGAAGGAGGACTTTGACCGAACTATCGGCATTCACCCCACCTGCTCAGAGGTGAGACTCTTTACTCCACTCTCCTTACTGTAAAACACACCCCTCTTTTTGAACTCCACCCGCTGTTTCCTTCTCTTCCAGGTCTTCACGACACTTCACGTGACCAAGAGCTCCGGCGGATCAGCCGCAGTCACTGGTTGCTGAGGTTAATTCCTGTTAGAGCGCCAACGCCCCGGCCCCGTCACGGTCGTGTCCCGCGTGTCCACCGTCTCGGGGTGCGCTCTAGCAGCAGTGAAACCCTCATTCACCCTAGCGACGCCAGCGTAGATAGATAAGACGAAACCGTCCTTTGAAATATGACTCGAAACCTGTCAACCAGTCCTATTGGAGCGGGTTTCGACGATGCTGGTCGCCCCTGTCTTCACGCTGCGTCCATTGCCCGCTTCTCTTGATACACAAACTTTGCAACTTTGTATGCTGTATTAGTTCTCACGAGTCTAATATTTTTTTCTCCCAGATTATGTAGCATCAGAACCAGTTGTCCACGTCAAAAGAAATTTTAGCCAACCTGCACTTTTGGTTTCCTGTTTCGGGATCTCGTCGAATGACTTTGCAACTGTAGGGCACGTGGATTGCCATAGGTCGGGATTTCATTAGACTGATGTCAGGTCATGCAAGATGCAATCACGAAACCCTGTTATTTGTCATCCCGTTGTGGACCTATTGTTTGGCCAGACAAACGATGAAGGAGTGCTGATGCCCTATACCACGTGAAGTACCCAAGGAAGAAATAAGACCAGAGATGGCAGACAGGACCGTTGTTGTTGTTTCCGTGTGTTAGATGTAGTGCATGACCTTATGTGTTTTGCTGACTGACACGGTTGAGTGGACTAGTAAAAAAATACAGGCGTCTTATTGGTCAAATTGAAAGAGCGGGTGGTGGAGGGACACACAGAGGGATGAGTGAACAGGCTGTCCCAGTGACTGACGGGCATGCCGTGAAAAGGGGGACGTTTGTGTGGGGCTGCGATGGCCGGGTTATTGAAAGTGAATCAACACAAATCACTGCAGGAGCAATGCCGGCGGTTGTAGTGATAGTTTTACGACTTGCACTGTGATCAAAGCCGATTCCATTATTCATGTACCTTCTCCAACCTCTAGTTTTCATTGATCCCTGCAATTGCCCTTCCAATTACCTTAGACCGGCAATTGTGTCGTAGGAGCGCTTTGATGGGTAGTGTTTGCAGAGGGTTAGAGCGCGGATATAAGTCACGAGGGAGCTAGTCTCAAGTTTAAGTTGATTTCTTGCTCTTTGGCCGTTAGTGGCAGGTTTCGTTATCGGATGATCGAGTTCCCATCGTCATACAACTGGTCGCGGTTTTATTGACGATGATGAAAAGGTGGCACCAACGCTACATTGTCCTGAAGAGGTGATTTCATCACTCAAACCTCGTATTGGGGCGGTAGGCATGAAGGCAATTGAGAGGAAATCGGTTTTTCGTGAAGCGGAGACGCGACATGCTTAGCTTAATTTGCCCAAGTAGCTAAGATTCCCACTCGTAGTGTTGGGTATCTCTGCAAACGGACAACATTAATCGCTTTTATGGAGCAAGGGGTTAGGAGTACCGCAACAAGGACATTGGATCCTCTTATTAATATGTTTTACATTTCAGCTTAACACACACGACTTCGAGGCAGGCACTTCGCGTTAAGCCAATTAACGTTGGCTGTTTATATATTTTACAATCTCTAGAATTCACATTTGTTGAGGAAGTGAAATTTGCAGTACACAGAGGGTCGTGAGCTTGAGGAGATAATGAGTTGGACACCTTGGTTTACTAAGTCGTGTTGCGTTAATGATGCTGGGAATTAGGAGAACGAAGGGATCCAATCGCTAACAGCTAAGGATTAGCACGTGTGAATCAGGGTTTGAGCATTCAACATAAATTTGCAATAGCCCATACTAACTTGATAAATGCGGTTTCCTTGTGACTGCTTTGTTGCATTTAATCAGTTATAATCAATAGTTGCCTAATCCGGATCAAGCAGATCTGCATGATTATTAAAACGTTTAAGAGTTCTAGGGTAAGTCAACCAACCAAAGTTTCAGAAGGGTGTATAAATTTCACGTTTGCATTATTCACCATCGGCAAATTTTCTGCAAAATTTTGGTTATTTGGGACCTACAAGTAAACTCAACTATTTCTGTGCTTCTCTGATGCTCGATATTCGCAACAGCTATGGCACTTAATGGCGTTAAGGCGTCTGTATGAAGAACCCATTCAATATGCTGTCAGCTTAAGTGACACGGCTTTCCGCTCATGGTTCTAATTGGGCGTGTAGCAAAGTATAATCTAGATAGAATACTGGTTGTTCACGTCCATCATCTCAGTTGACGCCTGTTCAGTTACCATGGTAACACAACCCCGCGTTCTCAATGCCCTGGCTGGTTTCGCTGACACTGCGACTGGTGGAACAACACAGTCTTCACAGACGTGCCACTGACCAGAACGTTCCGACAGCCGCTATCCTTCCAAATCCGCCTTACCAGCTTCTTGTCCACACCAGTCTCCTGTTGTCTGCTTATCTACTTCATATAGGCGATTATAACACGTATTGACAGTGGATTGGTTGAGGTTACGTATGTCGGCACTACAATATCCGCTCCCCTTCATGGTACATAGAATTATGCACGACTTTGGGTGGCCACACACATTTATTTCATGAATGTTTCCATCATCACTGATTTTAACCTTGTCGTGCAGTTGCCTACAATGACCAAGCCTCGTCAGGTGCAAGATCCACATTGAGGGCTTCTGCTAAACCGACCAGTTATACTTTAAGTTGGATACACCCGGTGGATCTCTAAATCACGGTAATAAATGTGTTTTTGTGTCTACTCTTGGTAGGTATCAACACGAGGATGGTGTCTTTACCTGCTTCTTTGGATCCCGAGTTTTACCAAGGTGCAAAGCCTGAAATATGGCGGCTTTGTGGAGTTAAACCCACGCGGCAAATTAAGCTAGAGATTAGCACCAAATAGCATAAGCACACTAACAAGGCAAAATACGACTCCCTTGTAAAACGAATACCACATATTAGCCTTCAGAGGAGTCCTTTATTCAGCACACACAAATTAGCTAGACCCAAATAACGACATGCCACAAGGACAAACAGAAATAGGATCAGCACATTGGAGGCTGTTTTTGTGATGTAACTGACAGAATTTGCGTTCTAACATTTAGGTCTTGTATGAACGTGAGCTAATGGTAGTAGTGTTTTGCATATCCAGGAAACCAAACAATGTATCTTCGTTTAACGTTTCGTAAGGGAAAGTGCAGTGCGCATGCGTGCGTTTTAAATTCGTCTAAAAAAAAACTAATGGGACGACTCAGTACCTCCTATCAGAAGCCACGTCATTGTGTCTAACAAATCAGTGGAAAATGAGTCAATGCCTCAGACTAACGTCGTGAGTGGTGGATCCAACTGCTGTGCAAATGATTGGTGATTAATTCATCAGCCTTATCATCTCCCCGATCTTCATGTTAAAATACTTTTTATAAATCCGTATTAAGGGTGATAAAGATTGAAAGTTAATGTTCCAATTCTTGGTATTTTAAAGAGCAACACAATAGTCAATTATTCTCGCATTAACCACGGATCTTTTCAAAGGCTACAACGTGACGTGAACAAGAATGTTTATCTACAATATAGGTCTAGTTGTGATGGCGCTCGAGTGTACACATAAACACCCGGTTGGAGGCGAGTGGACAAATATACCGATGATTAATGGAATTTATTGACATTGGGAGTCACCGCGCTTCAAAAGCATTGACAACTCTACACTCGGAGCGAATTTTGTCTACGTCACACAAAGGCGCACTGCGGTTTCATAAAGCCAATGAAGTTTGTTGACGCGCTATTTATATTTACATGAGTAACAAGAATTCGGTAGCAGTCAAGGAGGTTGGGCCTTGGTTACACTAATTCGATTACAGAGGTCCACCTAGGACGAAATCCAAACAAAAAGGATACGCGAGGACGCCGGAACTGAAAGCTGGAGCTTGCCACATAGGCGGTTAAAACACGTAACCGGTATACATTCGTCTAGCAGCCTGGAGCAACCAGCGCTGTCGTTAACACTTTATACGGTGGTTGATCTATGGCAAATTCACAACCGTTCCCGCATTTCACGCTTGACTGCTTGCCACTTTTACTCACCCCCGAAGGCTTCCTGCTGAGTCACTTACCCTTGAACTGTGTGTCCACTCCGATGTTTATCTTGAATTCTCTCAACGTGCATAAACAAGCCCGCTGATCCTCCGTGCAAACACACTTATGACTCCTTCTCCTCGCTCTTCGGAGCTATACATACACACAAACGCAACACACGACTTGATTGAGGAATCGGATAAACAGTTGAATCTCCTCGATCTCCTCCCGTGTCAAATCTTCCTTGGGTACTTCGTACTGGATCTTGTCACAACGCTACCATAGCTTGCTAACTACATTAGTTTTTCGCTTTTGCTTAAGCATATCCTTCGGAATGTTTCAACTAGAGACTGCACCGAAACGGTGCAGAGCAAAGAAGCAGTGTCCTGATATCTCTCCGACGAGGTATCCTCGTTAAGGAACACATGAAATGTTTTGGTGATGTTCACAAACATGAAGGTCTGTGAACGGAATGCACTGGTATGGAGGCGCAGAAAAAATGATTAACAGCTAGCTCGAACAGCAAGCAAATGGAGCAACGTCGTCAATTATTACACTTTGAATTGAAAATTACCCTTTAATTTGAAGGTCTGCGAAATTTCGCTCAGAATGCCACTGAAATTTGTCAAAGCTCATTGTTAGGTCTTTGAATACCGTGATTGATTGGTTCAATTGGCGCCGGAGAGTTTTCTCTGAAATGGCATCTATCGCTTGAAGAGAAAAGCTATATAGAACGCCAGAGGACTCCATAAAAATCGACTAGGTCGTTTGGGTGAAGGCGCATCTACCGAAGAAACTGATGATAATCCATTCGATGAGACCAGTGTTTGGTACGCCTACGCTGATCCCAACAATTGAACTACGTATTCAGATATTTTGTCAGCTTACTGGGCACGCTTGAAAAACCATCGCCAATTACGATGGACGAGAATTTGTGCAGTCTTACATCATTTTTAAAAGGTGATGAAGAGCACTTCACACTGAATGAGTATATTTAAATTGAAATATAAATGACACACCTCATATCTGCTTTCCATTTCTGACTAATACTTATTGAGGCAGTGTCCGTGCTAAAGCAGAACGTTGTCATTTGGTATAATGCAGTAGGAGCACGCCCATCATCGCTGTCGTTAATTCACCCCCAAAATACGTCCTGTGTGTGCGTGTTCAGACCCCCTTTTTCAGCGTCCCCATTAGTTTTTATGGACACGTCTGGACATGCACGCGGTTGTAAATGCCCACACTTGCACGAGCTTCACTAACAGACCAACACGACTTATTCACCAATAGGCATGGTAGAGCGACTTCATAAATGGTCGTGTCTCCGTCGCCCCGGCATTCTAATTTATGCCTAAAACGCGGCTGCCGCGTTGTAAGGTAATGATCCGAACCAGAACCTCGGTAACTGGTGGCGAAGCCAGCGTAGTGTCCGGCTCAAAAAGAGGCTTCTGAAACTGGAGCAATGGAGGTAATCGATTTTTGCGAGGTCACAAAGAACGTCGCCATTGACAAGAATAGACATAAAATCATGGTTAATGTTACTGGAGTACATATATCACAAGCTAATTTGCTTGGATTGCTTTCCCATTGTTCAGTTAATACCGTTTTTAAGAGCGGCAGTGGAAGCGATATTAAACAAAGTACGGCCCAAACCACTGTAGAACGCCTTCAAAACGAAATCTAGCACCGATTACCACACGACTGTTTACAAAGCTAGGAAACCAGGACGAGTACAAAACGACGCTGATAAACGGCGTCAAGATCCTTCGCAAGCGTGGAATTGCGGTGCTAACATGAGAAGAGGAGCATGCACGTGAGGACGGTGAAAAGGTCAGCAGTTAGGGAGAAGAAACGCAAAATGAAAAAGTCATGCACTTGTGGGAAAAGGCGCGCGATGCTGAGGACACGTCCTTGCAAGTAAACCGCGTAGTCGTGAGATCACGTGCTCACCGCTGAGGGTAAACGCAAGAACGGGCAGGATATAATCGCCGAGATGAAATTATGCGGCCTTGGCTTGTTATTTAAGCCTATTTTTGAAACCACCCAGTAAAGTACTTTAAGCCATGAAAATGAATTTACAGGCGAATCAGTAAAAACGCATCTGAGGCACCCGAGAGAAACGTCCAGTGATGCTGTATTTTAAATACAGAACTTCCTATTGCGGGGAAACCAAAGTCGGTAACTAATTCATCAAATACGAATAAGTTTGACACGCCGCTCACCATGACATTAAGTCAGCATCACTGGCCCTACAACAAGGTCGTTTGGTTCGATTCAGTGTCAGTGAAACATCACCAATCAATTTTGGGAAAAAGGTCTTGGGTGTCATTATGCACCACTGGTCACAAGTAGAAGACCTAGTGTACGTAAATGGTGCATTGCTGCGAATGCGTTGAAGACTTCCCACCATTTTCTTGACTGGCTAAAAACGCAATAAACATGCGACATTCCTGCATCAAGACTAGTCCAAGAATGGAAGTGCTTTCGTTGCCAGAAAAATCGTCATGCTAATGTACCCAAAACCCACCCCACAAGAGTGATTTAACAGAATTATTTGTAAAAGAGAAAAAAATAAAAATAATAATAAACCAGAGACAAAATCAAGACACTCCTAAGGATTCGTCAGTCAATGAGATCAACGGCGTTTCCGCAACCATCCGCCTACGCCTGTCAATTAGCTTTGTTAGCCGTTCCGTAGAGTCCAGCAGAGCAGCCCGTCGAGTAGCTAATTCGACTACCAGACCGAGGCTGCGACGAAAACATGTTTGAGCCTGCCGCAACAGTGGGGGTACTAGAACACCACAGAACCAGTTGATTGGGTCTGAAGGTTTCTGGTCTGTGGATGATTTAGCACTATCTCCAGCACAGGCACTGTTCCCGAGGGGCGTAAGTTCGTCAATCAGATCAAAATTACAAGAACCATTCACGTGAACGCGAGTCGTTGCACCATGGTTAGACATATCGGCGGAGTTATAGGAAATTTGAGAAATTTTCGCCGATCCACTGGAGGAGTTACAACGGGTTTTAGCTAAGGCAATTCGACCTGATCCTAAAATTAAAATAAGATCATAAAAAGAAGTATGTAGGAGCAAACAAAAACATTTAACGATTAGTTTCCACACAGACCTGATAATCCACAACAAATCGCATATATTAAAAAATAGATGGCCTAGAAGTTCAACTATTGTACACAACCTGTAAGAGTGAAGATATGTTATTAAAGAAGTCACTGCATTATCTGAAATCATACATGAAAGAATAGTGGGAGGCAAAGTAATGCCAAATGAGATGCAAGAGTCAAGGAAACCAACAGACCAGCGGCTAAAACGCATATTTTGTGAACCAAGCTAGAATGCAATTACAAAACTAGATTTGATACTGGTTAAACATTTACCGAAATTTTAGCTACATTATTTTGCAGTATCTATCACATCAGATTAAATATTTTAGGAAAAAAAGTCAGAATTTACGTATTCATGTTCGTGACAACCTTAAGTACAAGGAAGGAGGAACAGCTATGCCCCAAGAAATTGAATAAAATCTAGTCACGTACTAAGCGAATTTTCAAGGTGGTGCAGAATTTCGATAACTGCAGAGATATTTGCCAAATGTTCTAGCATTACAGTATTTATCACATCGTCCGTTGAGCACACCTCATCCATTTTTGAAACAAGCGGCATAAGCAGCATTAGTGTAAACATTTATCACATTCTAAAATATTTTTCCTTAAAACAGATCACGATACAAATAATGAAATCAGACTTTTTATATATAATTTATTGTAATAAGGTAGTGGCAGGAAATTTACTTGAATAGGAGAGGTGTAAGACGCCACATTTACAACTGTAGTTAAAAGTGAAACCTTAAATTTGACCGCTGCAAAACACGAAAACAAAAACATTCCAAAATATTGCTTTTGGTATAGACTTTATTTGGTTAATATTTTAACAATCACCGTTAATTACATCAGGAAATGTAAGAATACCTAACTATTTTTTCAGGCCAGTGACCCACTTTAGTGAAGCTCGTTCGACGAATGCTTTCTTAAAAGGCAAAAAACTTATACAAAATATGGGCCGACGTTCATAGATCTTGATGGTCAACAAGCACATGTTTGACATTTGGATGGTTTAACCAGGTAAATAAAGAAAAATTATGGGTTAAATAGAATTTGGTCTTTCCTCAGGTTTCCTTTTTAAAGCATCCTACTTTGTTCTTAAAACTGTAAAGCTACTTTGAGGGAATTATATTTTTTTCTGTGATAAACTTTTACGTGTAACTAAATAAATTACAGGGATAGTATTTGATTTAATACGCCTTTATATATAATAACAGTTCAGTAAAAGAATTCGCGGACAGGTTTTTTATAACATTTAGGATGCAGGCATGAGAACAAATATGGTTATTCAATCTGGGGTAATTTGTGGAATAAAATGTGGCATCGCTATTCCAGGCAATCACTAAACAAAAGGAAAAAAAGCCGTCTTCTTACGTTCTATTTCTGCTGAACGTTAAGTCATGGTGGGTGGGAATAATTGTTTATATATCTGAAAAACTAACCTTGATTGATTTTTGGTTCAATAGACCGGATGGGTTGAAAAAGCAAGGGGTGTATTGAAACTATTATTGGCTATTTCAGAATTGGTCATTTTGTACAATTACTTACTTAATATTACATTAGATTTTCTCACGATTTTTCGTTAGTTTTTTTTTGCTTCTTCATCATCACACTAAAATTTCTGCAAAGCCACATGGCTTCTCTTATTTTATACTTTATTTTGATGATATTATTTTTTATATTGACTTATACCCCAAGTATATTAATGTTCAAGATGGCCTAAAATTTGATCGTCACTTAAGACAATTGACTGGAAACAGAAAAACTTGCAACAGACCTATTCCCCTAATTTAGTTGAGTGTAATTTTCATGCTGTAGGAAAAAGGCGGGCTTTTCGTTAAGAGCGTGTCACTTATTAACTTGATTTTAAAAATGCCAACCTACATGTAATTAGGTCGAAATGACGTTGCGACCTTGGTGCAGCCATTCAAACATTAGGAAGGTTTAAAAAAGCCACTTAATACAGAATAACCGTGCATCGAATGAAAACACCCAACCTTGATCTGGGTTTCATTAAGGACCATCTGTAAAGCCGTGTCAGCATACCCATTTGAGATTATTCGCAGGTGCTAAAAGAATGCTTTGATAAGCAAGGCTATGTGGAGTTAACCGAAAAGAAATGACGACCATATTTATTCAATTGTACATAAATCTCAAACCGTTAAGTCGATTCGAGGTTTTTAAACATAGCACTGACGGACATTGGTTTATGACCGTTAAAATAAATGATTGTAGTACTTTATGATTAACATCCCTAAAATAAGGATTTTTTAAGCACAAAGGTGAAGTACTAGAGCATACACAGGCTTACAGGACCTAAGTGAAAATCCACGTTGCTTCAATTTGTTCCGAGAAAATTTCCCGACTTAAGAGAACAAAAACTTGCAACCTCTGATTCCACCTCAGTTAAACCAAAAAAGTACCACTTCAAAGCGTTAGGTTCGATACACAAAAGATCAGGCCATTGCAATGCGTGCAGTCTGCGGTGTTCCGGTTTCGCACAGGTGTCTGAAAAAGTTCGAGATTCTGCATTACCGCAAATACTTACGCCAAATCCATGACCCCCTTGAAATAGAATTCGTATCACAAGTACACCACAATTATGATATCATCGAGCACTCCCTGTTGACGAAATCCACCACCGAATCCTGACCTCGGCCGATTGTGCATTTTTATAGGAGGGATTTTGCTGCTTTCACTAATCAGTTGATTTATGACGGATTCATCCGGTTGGCCTTTAACAGTTCCTTTGAAATTAAGGTGATTTCTGATATTTTGCAGGATTTTTTAAGGCCTTATCTGGGCAATGACAGCAAATAATTAGACTCAGCTGCTGCCAGCGATGTGAGCCTTTTTCTGGAGACCGATTTTAATTTTTTTTGCCAAAACAACCTTAATCCGGTTCTCGCAAGCCTTGTAGACCTTCAATTCGGCACATATGCCACCCCCCCCGCCACCCGTTTCATAAAGCTGGCCGTTCAGACATTTGTACTTTAACAAATGCACCCAGAAAATCAACAACCACATTAGTCATGCACTACATTTGAATACACGAACACGACAACAGGACATCTAGGTTCGGCGATCTAGTAAACGCTTGACTCAGATACTATTCATCTTCTCGGTTACCTATGTAGAATGATCGAGTCGAATTCAACAACCCCCTGCTTTGTCTTATCCTTCTGGTGCCGTGTCCATCTAATCTAACTAATGTGTTTATTCTTGATTGTCTCAATATTTCGAGACAAAACGCGTTTAATCCTCGATGTTTCAACACCAGCATCACACGCTGTTCACGCCTATGATAGACAACCACACCCCCACGACTCCACCGTTTGATTAAATTAGGCTACTTCGAGTCGTATACCACCGAAACAGTGCTTACGATACTTCCTACCCTATACGAGTTTGGTGACAACTCAATTTGAGTCCTGTGGAGAAGGCAGAGACAATCAACTTCATGTTGACAAACCATGACAAGTACTCTGATTAACTGCACTCATAAGTACTGAATGGGCATTCAAATAACCTATGCTGGGACGCTGAAATACAGCAACCTATGGAATCTTCAGACACTGGCGACGAACTTGACCCGTTATGCTGGTGGCATTAGTTAGTGTTTGGAGTGATCTAACAATGTTAACATGGGCTCGGTGAAATGTTATCTAACCAATGTATGTAATCCTAAACACATTACTTTCGGAGGCTCGCACAGCGCGATCCTGTGGTGAATCGCACAAATTCCCGAACACAACCACCTCTCACCCTTCTACGCTCCCCGGCTCCCTGCTGACCTCCATTCACATCGCCTGTTTCCCCACTGCTCCCGTGTGCATCCATTCCCAGACTCCCGCTCAAAATTTATGTTAACATTCCAGCGATCAAGACTTCCTCCTGTTCATGCTCATGGACCGTGAATGAACACGAAAAAAAGCACGAATAAAGCGAGCCGTCTTCGCGGTCCAATAAAAGCCTGGAAAGTGGTCTTCCCTTTAGTTTTTTTATTACTGAAGTAACAAATCGAAAAGAAAGTGAATAAAAGTAGACCCCATTTCAAGTGGAGAAAACGGAGATAGTAGCAAGTTGGTGCTTGAATATAGAAAGGTTCATATGGAAGCAAAGATTATGTAAATTAGTTGTCCACATAATCTTCTACCGCTACTTTGCTTAAAAATGCAAAATCCTTTTGACGTGCATTTTCTCCAAGTTGGTTATTTCGGATATGATTAAACACATGGTTTTACTTATAGGCCGGCTAACTTTTTTTATAAGTTACCATCATCAGTGTTCGTATGTTTAAAAAATTCAAGAAATAGACAATAAAAGCATTCCAAGATTGTAATAGAGCAAGAATTAGCCGTTGATAATCAAAAGGGTTATATGGTTTGGTGAACCAATATCTTTACGTTGTGTTCGAGCAGCCCAACAGTGCATTGTGGGCCGATTTTATGAAAGCAATTTCCCAAACAGCCATTGATCTATCTCTGTGGCCATGGGAACTTCAAGAAAGATCTACCTCAAGAAACGCACGCTGGAGATCGAGTCTAGCGCTACAGAAAGTGCTTGAGAAGTTGCCAAAAGGGAGTTCACAAAAGCAAATTATCCTTCTTTTTCTGAAAGCCCCTGCTCATTTCGGTTTTTACCTGTCTACTCAGAAAAACTGGTTTCTACTTCAAACTCTTATCATCAACCAGGAAAGCATTTACAGAGATTAAACCACTTTACTTAGAATCTTAAATTTACGACACTACTTCAAAGAACATGCTCATAAATAACTAATTGAGTAAATTAGTTACTTCTGCTAGCTGTTTTACGAAAATCGCACATCCCATTTTCGCGCTAATTTGCTCATCGAACGCGCATTTACTTGAAAACTGCACTTGTAAGCACTGATAAGCAATAAAGTCTATTAAACACGATTTTCAAATTTTTTAAGTTAATTTTAATGACAGATGTTTTTAAGCAGACTGAATCCTTGCGAATGGTGTTCTAGGACCAATTCGATACGAATTAATGGTGTTTGAGGAACTTAATATAATCCACTTTGAGTCACCAATATGTCGCCAGATGTTGCTTTTTCTCAGAATCACTTTCCCACGTTCTTTCCGACCAGTTAACCAGGTTCGCTTTTGGTACATTACGTAGGGCTACCTTCTTGATGTTTAATTATGTGGGGGGTTTTGGTGTGAGAACCACTGGCTACGTTATACTTGCTTTAATTAGAAAATTACCGACTGACATCAGATAGAAAATTTTAATAAAATATGGCGTCACAAAATTAAACTTTGATATTTTTTGCTACTCCGAAATATCCAACCTGAATCTATCTTCCCCAAAAGGTAATATTTTTACCGCGACGGGTTGCGGTGCACTTTTGAGCCTCAATTTGTTAAGCGACCTCGGGCAATTTCTGGCTCAAGCTGCCCACTTCGACAGCAGTTAAATAATCGACTGAATAAAAGAATGCAAATATGCTAAATCTAGACAGGGAAAAAGTGAAATCCTATCACTAAATCTTGACGTTGAGGGTGCGAATGAGTTCGAGTTTGGCAAAAAAATGTGTGCTGGGCGAATGTGGGGCACTAGGGTGCCCCATTACTCGAGAGAACCGCACTCACAGCTTTTGGTGGGTAGTTGTAATCCCTTGGACAATGCATATGCTCGATTATCTAACCAGAATGTCTTGAGGTTGTGGTGGACGTTCAGCAATCGCGCGTGAGTGAAGCCTTCCTGAAGGATTATTGATTTCAACGGCTTCTTATTTTGCATTGGTTACTGTTATCAGTCGCCTGTTATGCACGCGCACTCATCCGCACACACAGACGCATTTGGTTGGCGTGACGCAAATAAGCGGTCGTATCCCCTGTCGCCATTACTCTCCACGTTCTCGGGGTTTTGTAATGACTGTTAGCCAGAAGGTCACCCCAGCGAGGTGGTGGTGTGACGCTGGATCCCCACTAATGCAATGCCTGTTATTTATAATGCGATTGCTCATTGGTAGGCCTATCAAGCAAAATACTTAAACCTCGTTATTTAATCTACGATCCTTAAAGACTAAGCCCAATCCTTTAGGCTCTATCAATCCCAACATAATTTTGAAATATCGCAGTAGCCCTTCCACCGAAATTTCGAGTGAACCCACAGCGGTGTGTAGTTCCCACAAGATCAGGCACTTGTGGAAGAAACCTGGTGAATTCTCCATCGCTCAAAAGTGGCGCCCGAAAGAATAACATTGTACTTTGCGTAGCCCTTAATTAGTGCTGTCTTTGTTGTTATGGGGACTAAGATGAGTAGAGAGCCAGAGACCGAGTGGTTAACTTGGCCACTTTCGAACAAAATATAAATATTTGTGCAAATAGATTCTTGCCGGTTCTCTGGACTCAACTCGCCGCAGTACGCACTGAAGCGCGAGAGGTGAATTTAATTAGAGAAAATCACTGACATTTTTAGATAGAGTTGTTTTCCTAGCTTGACTGGTAACAATAATAACAAGAAACACAGAAATCTGTGGTATTTAATTAATTTAATTGCTTCCTTAACTGAGGTTCGAGAATTATATCAGTGTCATATAATATTACAATCTACCTAATACTTCACTTCAATGTTGAGCGGTTACCAGTAGTTTGAGTCAAACTAATTAGTCAGAAAGGTTTTAAAAGCAACAATCCAGGGAGGGGAACTGCCTGGAAAGGCATGATATCCTTTTGCGCACAATTTATGAATGAATGCATTTATCACACGGCTTTTGGACAGAGGTAGGGGTAAGGCGGATCAGTTGTGTGCCAAAACCCATGCTAAATAGAAAAACTACGTCATGCATCGGAAAAGCGTCAACTTCACACTGGATAAAGTCACAGGTAGGTGGAAAACGAAACTCCCATGTCGCGTAATTAAGTTAAAATAACATCTAGGCAGGCGAGGGGCTAGGGCTGCAACTGGTAATTACAGTGACCATTTACCACCTAACCAGCGGAGTCATGGACTTTGAGTGATTTCAGATAATCATTGTTGGTTAAGGGTTTGCCATACCAAGACTTGAAAACAGCAATCTGATGGAGTAACGTCGTGGTTATTTCAGGCTGCTTTCGACCGTTTTCCAAACAAACTCCAGTAGATCGCCACCGGTAACCAAAAATATTCATTAGGCCCTGCGTTGTCATGTGATTGGCCAGTTATAGCCGCAGTTAATTTGTTACTTATTGACACTCTGAGCCTTTTTATTCTAGCTGAGTTTTTCTGACACTCCCCTTTCGTTGGTAAGTGATGATTTTTTGTAATAAGTGGGTTGATTTCGCCAAAGATAATTCTTGTGTCAAGTGAATTTCATTTATGCGGGGAGCAAATATCAATTTTCTTAACAAGTCTAATGCATTATTAGTACATTTTAATTGATTTTTGTTTGATTCATTTGATTCGGATATCATCGACCTTTATAGGATAGTCCGAATGTTAACATACCTTGAATGTGAACGTCAAGAATAAAATATTTTAATCCAATTCTGACACGTGCGTTCTGTTAGGCAGTCACCACTTTAAACATTGTCTACAGTCTCAGCAGTTTTCTTATCTTTGCGTCAAAATGCATCTTGAAAATACTCGTTTTTTCATCGATTAAAAAAAGCCCATTTAACTTTAAAGTGTTTTTTATCAGCGAGCAAAACTCACATCTACATTATATCAGCAAAAACATTCCTTGAAAAATACGGCATTTCCTAATTTCGAAGGCCCAAATTAACATTTTTCGAACGAATAGGCATTTCTACGATTAAGTGATTTGAAAAGAGTGCTTAAATACCTTTTTTTGTTTGCCTTCTGTTAAAAGTAACGAAACGCGGCGTTCCCCTAAAACAGGCTTTCAGATACCTAAGGGATTGAATGACCATAAAAAAATTTTCCTCAACGGAAATTTGCTAGCGTAATTTAAGCCTTGGAACAATCGAATTGTGAGCCTTTGCTCTTGTTGAGGATGTCAACATTGACCAAGGTAAGTAAATTAGCAGAGAGGCTTGTGACACTGATTCACTCAGCTCTGTTCACTCAACTACAACTCTACGTTCGCGCAGCATTGTTCTTCACACCAACCACTCATCGCGCAGTGTTAATTACTCAACTCATCGATCTCAGATCGCCCAGAGATATGCGATTGGACACATCTGAGCATCCAGACGGCTTCCGCCTTGGCCCCATCTTGTACTCGACCAGTTGGTTCATACAGTAAAACCTTCCACACAAGGTATAATCTCTAATTCTGGGAAGTCTTTGACGTGTCGAACAAGGGGTTCTAGCTATTAGCTCGGGAGTCTCATTAACAAACCGGGTAGAAACGTAGCAGCCGTGCTTCGCGGATTCTTGTAAAGCATCTCATCATGTTTAACACAGTATGGTCATCATCAACGTGTCGAACAAAGGGTTCCAGCCATCAGCATCATCATACCGGGCAAAAACAGAACAGCCGTACTTTGTGGATCCTTGTAAAGCATCTCATCATGATTAAGCGAACGATTTGACACCCGCTGATGGTGCATAATCAACTGTGCATGCAGCGGTAAATGTTAATGCTTTAGTAAAATCATGCAAGGGATTCTATTTTGTGAGCCAAAATACGGAAAATGAGCTCTCATGAATAGAGGTAAATATCGAAAATCAAAATTTAAACAATCTGCGCATCGTGCATGTCTATTTTAATTGAATTAAAGTTCAGAAAAATTGTTTCGTTGTAAAACGAAACTGCACAAACTTGTTGCTTTGTTAATTTACACCTACAGAGCTACAACTAAAAATGAAGGCTCCAAATACTGTCACGCAACCTTCATTTGAGTTAATTTTAGCCAGCAGAATTTTAACATGCTTCAGACGACTTATCTATTCATCATATATATGTAAGGTAATTAATTATTGATAAACACTAAAATAAAAAAAATTCATACAAATTTCACTCGAATAAATACCAAAAAATTAGAGCCATGTTCTTTAACTGGCTACGTCCGTTTGACAAAAAAGAATAATTTTGTCAAATGACTACCATCAAACTCAAAGTACACACGGAATCCTGTCCAATTAAAATATGAAACATTTAGAGAATAAAAGTGCATTTAAAGTGGCACTAATGGGCCACTCTTATCTGCAAAACGCCTGCCTGCACTATTCCAGAACTCGTCACGTAACCTCAAATCGCATGTCACTGAAAAAGGCTGAATAACTAGATGGTAGAAACTGCTTTCGTGAATCTAGCATGCAGTGCAATATGTTTTGTGGCTGTAAAGTTAGACTAGAATTTAAATTAGTATTTACGCATTTGTTTCCTAAGTCATTTGGTCAACAGGGTACGAATAACGTCTATATTTGTGTAAATCATAAATAGACAGAGCTCACAAAGGGCTACTTTACAAAAAAGGAACTCCAAAGGCGAGCCTTTTTAATTAAATCACCTATTGGCCAAAGAGTGCTAATTGGGCATCGAGCGGCGTTTGAGGTGACTCCACGCCGCCGGCGTGGTTCCAAGTGGAATTCGCTGCAGGTCGCTGGCTGAAGTGGTGGTAGTGATGGGGCGACCAGACAACGGGCGCTGGCTCATGGGAGGTTCGCAGAGAGGGGGAGAGGTGTGGGTGGTGAGGAGGGTAATGCACAAACCTTTCTCCATCTACTGACCTCGAAAAGTGCGGGTTAGTCCGAGGGAGTGCCAGGGGCGCTGTGGCCGACCGAGTTGTCGACGCTCGGGACCACAGACGTGGAAAGCATCGTCCTGCTGAAGTGGACTCCATGTCTCCGTCTGCGCCACGAGCCATGCGTGTGAGGCACTTTCGAGGGTGAAAGCAGACAGCGCAGACAACCATGTAGACGACGAGGAGGGTCACAAAAATGTACGCCACAAGAAGGCCAATAAAGCGGGTACTCTTCGGACTCACTGATGTCCCGAAGTCCGCAGGAAGCAGCTTGGGAGACGATGTGCCGCGTATCTCTTCATGCCCAACCATTGCCGAATCAGCAAGGGCTATGTTCCTCCCTTCCAAAGCTGCAAATCAAGGGTAATCACATGTGTACTTTCATAAAATCAATGAGTTGATCTTCAGATATTACAGATTGTGGACTGTTATTTCACTAGCAAATTAATCCAGCAACAGAAGAGTCCCTGTTTTTGCCATAAGTCAACAATATTATGCAAAGTCCCCACCTAACTTGAAAATATTTACATAAGAGGACTAGTTTTTTAGGCGAAAGCGAAGCAAAATGTGAACGAGGTATCTCCAAACGGACACAAAATATATTGTCCTGGTTTAGACAAATTAGCAGGAGTTCCGGGAAATGCTAGGCATCGCAGCAAACAAGTGGATAGGGAAAACAAAACAATTATTTCATGAGAGCAGTGAAATAAAGATATAAATCGCTGTTAGATTTGATGTTTGGTTTTTTAAGTAGAACAGGTAGAAGCCTTAGGGCTTACATCTGTCAAGACTTCACTCCGTGAAGGGACATATCTGGAAATTACCCTTCTTCCCTGTCCACAGACATAAAGCCACCACGATGTGTGATCGTAAAGTGTAATTTATTATGCAACGAGGTACCTGCTTCGCTTCGTTTTCCTCTCTTCTATTAATTAATGTCCACCGATGCAAACCTAGGCAATGGCAGTGTCCTATGGATAAATAACTTCAAAGGCACACCAGTTGAAAAAACCAATTCCATTTGCCTTTGCGTGCCGCCAGTGTTTATTTTTGGAAGAGAGCGTGACTCCGCGAGGAGCCCGGGGTAACTGAAACAATTTAAATTATCTTGAAAGCATCCAAGCTACTTTTTTGTCGGAAGTGAGGTGGGCTGAGACTAGAGTTCAGTCAACATCTGGCACCCATTAGTTCAGGAATCTTATCTATTCTGGGTTGCATATTTCTGCTATTTTTTGTGCCTAGTAAAAGGAAGGCTATTTTCCATGGATGGAATTACGAAAAGTGACGATGTTATTGACAGTAAATTAAATTCAATTGTGAGAAGCATCCTCTGGTTTTAGTTAAATTCCTCCACATAATTATGCGTTGTAATGATGACTAAAACTATATTAAATTAAAGTGTAGCCGTGTATTTTAGTGTATATCGGAAGTAGGAAATTTGGGGTGGCAACGTTGTATTTAACTTCGGCATTTATATCACGATTACTTAAATAGGGTGCGTATGAGTAAAATGGCAGCAGATTGTGCTGATTATGAGGCAAGGCAATCGGAAATCCCCAAGGAATCAGCAAACACGATGAGTTAGGTTTGACTTGTTGCTTTCAGAAACTTAACGAATCTGCAACAGGCTTTTTCGACAAATTTTACGTCGATGCTGAACTGAATGAGACCATCCAACACGGATTTGTTGACAAAAAATAATACACAGCATTAAGTCAAACTGAAAATTATAAGGTTTCTTTTGGCGTGACCTGAAGCTAGGACTCTTGTTTCCTTTCATCCGGTTGCGACGACACAGAGTCCTAGTTTAATCACTAACGCATCGGAGATTAGTGACAACGGAGTTTGTGACGGTGCGTCCAACGTAATAAGCTCCTACTTTTCGTAATCGAAACCTCAATTTTGTACTTCACTTGTTTAAGTCATAAAGGCACACTGAATGTCGAGGCATTACCAAGCAAAAAGCGAATTCACAGGGAATGAATCATGCCTTGCAGGGGCCGAAGTGCACATATTTTTCTGGGCACTTTTTTCATAAAGGGTTTTTTTTTCAAAGCGTAGCCTCGAGACAAACGAGCACCTTTCACCCTGTGCCCCACTGGACACTGTTCATAGTACTTTGTTTTAATCAACTGATAAAATTTTTGGTGAAACGAAGGTGCGTTGGGTTTGAGGAGTAATATTCCCAAAGATGCCAAAACACGAACACTGTCAACAGCAACACATGCTGACGCAGAGAACAAAAAAGCTGAAATGTGCAAAATTAAAATTTAATTTCAACCAATCACTGTGAACGATATTTCGGCGTTGCAATAAGTGGCAGTGAAATGTAAGAACGCATTCGACAATACTTGATGAGACAAAATATTAAATTACAAACGTTATTTTAACGAACAGTCCGATCTGGGGGATAGATAGCAAACAGGAGCTTCTGAGAGTCAGCGTGTCACTAATGCGTGCATACCTTAAACCGATCTGTCGCTGTATTCGATTTGTTAATCGATGCTTATATTGTTTAGGAAAGAAAGTACACGTATTTAATGACGCTTTCACCTGCCTTTGATGCTTCGACTCAACTGGCAACTGTAGGGAGGATCTAAAGATACGCCGATGAGTACTGCCTACTGGACTTTGAAAATTTCTTAGAGTAGCATAAATATCAATTATTGATAATGCGATAGCAAAAATAAACAGTAAACGTACTTGAATACCTTCGTTTTGGAATGACGACGGTGACGTTCAGGTGCATATTCTTAAACTTGCACAGTGTAGCGTCAGCTAGGGAAGGACACGGAGAAAAACGGGGTTATCATCGTGCACCCAGGAAAGACGCGCAACGGGCATGACAGCAACCTCCCTACCAGCCCTGTGAATTCACTTATCGGGAAAAAATCCCCCCACAGATTGGGACAGGCCTTTGCCCACTCACCTTCAAGTGGGCTGGGGGGATCATATGCGAAGGGCGGCAATCACACCGTGTGTAGGTCCAATCGACTAATGTAAACAATAAAATCATGTCTGGGATTCCCATATGGCTTTTGTTAATGCTAGAGATTTAAACAAAGCCGTTTATCAACCCTCTGTTCATGTAGTCTCTTTTGAACAAATTCCTACCAGCTTGAATCAAAACGCACCCGCATATTTCCAAAATGCTAATTTTTTTTAAACGCGAAGGGTCTTGTAGTTGATTGTTCAGTTAACGTAAAATTGCCAACTATGAAAATTCCAAAGGGGTTTTTCTAATTACCACGTTTTGTAAGAACAGAAATCTAGGCAAAAGAAACATAATTAGCAACACTGACTGAAAGCCACTTTGACCAGCAAGAACTATTAATTAGCTTATGAAGAACTGGAAAATCAACCACAGACTAATTTATTTCAACGCTACCACTGGAAAAAAATTCATGGGCAGTATTTGTGCGAAAGGCGATTTACCAGGCATGTGGCCACACCTCGTGTTCTTAATCGACCACAACAGTCACTCTGAAGCAAATGTTAGTAATGTTTGAATGAGTCGAAAACGACTCAAATTATCGACATATAAATCAAGAAATGGACTTTTGCCATTTGGAAAAGTGAATAAAGACAGGAATTTTCTTTACCGTACAGCTTGCGGACGCAGAATCACAATTGCTTTAATAACCACAACACAATGGGAAAAAATCGTGGGAGGTTATGTCCACAAAGTCATAGTGTGCTCACGCGATTTCGCGCAATTATTTCCAAACCTACAATACTTACTATTGCTTTTGTTCTGCCTAAAGCTAAACAATCCATTGTCAGACCATGGGAGGTAATCACTGGTTAAATTCCAAAAAACCTTATCTCTAACACTAATCAAATCTTTGATAACTTACACAATTTCTTAGTGATTTCTGGTGGTTCAAAGTCAACAAATGACCAAATTTTTGCAGCATTTTAATTGGGTAAATCGACCATGTAGGATTTGCCTCTTGACAATTTTTGAGGCAAGCATCTGTTTTTAAAAATCGTTTGGTGCTATCCAGTGAATTAATTTTTGTTGATTTGTACTTGATTCATGCACGTAATTATTAAAATTCTTTTGTACGCTTGCACAAGGAAAAAAGCGTTTGGGCGTACCAAGGAACATTTCGCACAGACGGAATCGGTTACAACTCACCCATAAAGTAAATTCGCTTTTCTTGCTGCACATCGTCTGGAGGCAGTTGATTTATTAATACCGATATATCGATTAGTAAGTGGTAAGCTGGTGGTTTGAAAGAACAGTCGATCAGGAGGTGGATGAGACTGAAGTGATCCATTGGCTGCTGACACGATTTGTACAAATTCACGTCTGTCGTCTACAAGTATGTTCGTGCAGTGAAGAAAGCAATCACTAATTAAACAAATGCGTTGTCATTTGCCTAGTCATCTCCTCCACGTGTGGGTTGATCGTATTTGTGAAATGTAGAAACTTTTTTGAAAGAAAAACCGCCGATCAAAGCGTCCGCCAATCATCCTAGGCCACCTCCCCACAGTCTCTGCTAATAACGAAGGTAATGATTGCTTTGGTTATCGTCACAGGTGCTGGGAATGATCTTAGACATCGTCATATGTCAAGGTAGCCTAGTGATTAAAAGCCGTGTGTTGTTGAAGTCGTATTATTTGACTAGAATACACGCATAACTGTGGTCGGAAAAAAACAGTTCACCGATGAAAGATCATATAGGATGTATCAAGACAAACTGTTACCTTGTGAACCAATGTAGGCATTACCTTTTCAGACATCATAAATAGAACGCCTAGACTAATTTTAACTAAGTATCAGACGTTTGCTGACGCAGCACAACCACGAGGCGTCCTGTGAACAATGACAGTAGTGGACTTCGGTTGAACGTCACCGGATACAATGTACTGAAGTAAATTGCCTGTCTAGAAATTACTGTCCGTGCATTCAACGTGACTGCTAACCCGTTGTGTACACACCGAATGATTTATAAATTGCATCATCTTGTTAAGTCTGCGTGTTTCTTAAAATAGTGCCTAATGAAAAAACCGAAGCCCAACTAATTTAAATTGATTAAGTTGTTAGTTGTGATTCCGAGTTCAAAAGAGTTTTGCCCACTAAGTGGCTAAGGCTGTTTTTGAGGTGAGCAACACTGCCTGTAAACACAGCGCACCGTGTGTTCAAATTACGAAATTTACTTCCCAAGGGCTGCATAATCTTGCACCATCTCTGGAAGTCTGTGAGCTTAGCAACTCAACACTGTGAGAATCAGTGTTGATGTTGTCGGTTGAACCCATTACGGACGGTGGCAGAGTGTTGCCTGGCGTGGGGAAATTTGGCTGCTGGTTTCCGGTTGATGAGCAAATTAGTGTGGACCTAGTCCCTGCATGACCACTGAGTGGACTAGTTTCACCTACGGGAATCAATGCTCGTCTTGCCCACAGAAAAATGCAGAGCTTGACTTCCAAAATATCAACCAAGCCATATTTTAGCGTGTTTGGAGACCTTAAATTCAAAGCTGCTTCAGTCTGAAGAAACTCTTTGGAAAGTATGGCTGAAATTTTTAATATCGCATTGGCATGACGCACCCAGAAATAACATTTACTATTGAGAGAGATTTCACTCACATCTGGCACCAATCTTAAGCACTAACGGAGCTTTTGGAGCTCCTTCAGTTGTCACCAACATTGGAATAGTGCATTACTTCGGCCAGCCCATCACCCATTTTGACCTTGCAGGCTCGAAATCCCTCCGCTACCAGCAAATCATTTTGGGCTTCTAGATTTTGCATTCTTTGGCTAATTTAGTCAAAAAGGCTCTGACGATTCGACTAGTTGAACTTCAAACTAATCTAATTTGGTGATAGCCTTTATATGGAATCAGAACGAAAAATCTAATGTAGTCTCATATTCGGTGATAAAACGCATTATTTCCTGTTCGTCTGCGGTATAACGTGGAATTTCAAGCTCTTAAATCGCAACTCCCGATTTAGGTTACAGAGGATGACCACAAAAAAGGCACAGCTACCAAGAATGCACAAGATGGAAAAGTCATCCTTAGATTGGCTCAATTCATTTTGCAGAGGTATCTACTATGCACATAAGATCACATTCATCAACCTCAAAGCCAAATCTGGACAAAAATTTATTTTTGGAAAAAAATACTTTAAGGATGGAACTAGGTCAGTAAGCGACTTAGGAGTTATGGTATTAATTTACATTCCGGGTGTAAGGCCACCGATTTTTAGCCTGAGAGCTGGTTGCTTCAAAAACACCGGATTTTTCAATAATTTAAAAATAAATTTTTTTTAACGAAAGTCCTTTATATATGTACGTTGATTCCTTAAAGACAATGCCAATTTTGTTGCGTAGAAATACATAAGTAACAAGCAACGGCTCACTTTATTCCGTCGGTTAAAAACCGTGCGAATCTGACGCCGGGTTTAAAATTGCCGCCGGGACCACAATACAATCAAAATTCTTTCAGAATTTTTAAGAATAACTTTCTGAACTCAAACGAACCGCCGCTTTTGGGAAAAAATGCAATACTTTTTCCCACCTCAAGATAAATAAATTGCCTTCTCCGAAATCCATAAACTTCTGAAATAATTTAAAATTTTATTTCCCTTAACGCCAATTGACCACGGCGGGTAAAGGACAGGAATTGATGCATACCCCACAATTATGATTTTGTACTCATTTGAAATAAATCACCTTGGAGATTAACTCATAAAAAAATAAATGGTATTGCAAAAATCAGGCAAATGATTGTCTTTTTATTCGTACTTTCGAATGCCCGAATCCCAGTTTTGAAAGGAGGCACTTTAAAATCGTGCCTCTTTGCCCCCATAACTTATCGAAAATGATGTACTTTGGAGCGCTTCCGCTTAACAGTCTTACAAGGTTCTGCAATTATTCATATTGAATTGGAGATCTACTGAGACCTCTTCGAACACTGTACTTGCTATCATAAATCCAGGCAAGACCTGGGTTATAGAATAGCTGCTAACAGTGCTCACCCATGTGGTTTTGCTGCTTTATCGAAAAATTCTAGTGTTGCTGTCACTTGACAACTGGATTCTGGTGGGTTTAAATACAATCAGAGATGGCAGTACTTAAGTCTAAATGGCCTTCACAACTATGTAAATAGCAATATACTTACCCAGAAAACCTTATTGGTAGGAGGCACTCGATTTGGGCAGATGAAGGCAATTTGGTCGTCAAGTGATACACGTAAATCCTTCGGGGTGTTTGCTCGAAATCTGCGCAAAAAATGTACGTGCAAAGTGACCTTTTTTTCGTGTCTCAGAGCTAAATTCTGAGCAATTCAAACTCTTAAACCTTTAGCTAGTTTGCCTTCACCTTGCGATTTTTTACCAACGAAAAACACGCGCACAATCTTATTCACCAATCTAGTTTGTACCGAAGCATGGCTTTGAGATTTTCGCAATCTTAGCACTACTACAGGAAAGTTGCATTTTAATCGAAAAGTATTTTAAGAAGTGTAAACGGGGAAGGGGTCGACTGGAGGGGGCAACCACTTGGGCAAAAATTCCCATTCCACGTGGCTTGATTGTGACTTACGATTAAGCACACTTGCAGTGCGACATGAGCGTTCCCGTTCTGGAGAGCAATGTTTCTGTAATGAGACCAAATAGGCGAAATAGACGCCTTTTCCCGGCACTAAAGTAGCATTTAATCAGAAACACACGCAACGTAGGAATGAAAAGTGGTCTAAATAACACAACCCTTTCCTGCATTGTGAAGCATGGTGCAAACACAAGGTCTCAGTTGGCAAGTTTTAGAATCTCATGATAAGATTCATGTGAATTTTCCTTTCACTAATTTGAGCACATTATAGGCATGAATTGACATTCGAAATTCCCGTTCAAAGGAGACAAAGGACTTGTGTGAATGGCTAAATATAAAACCATTTGGGAAAGATAAAGGGGTTCTGTTAAATCGTCATGTGGGTAATAAATAGCAGTACTTTGTTACATAACCGATTATTCAAGTGCGCAGTCAAACGGGTCTTTCGTAGCAATGTGTATTTTTTTAAATAACTCACAATTCTACACATTTGTGGATGTAGGATTGTAAACTAAGGATGCTCAGTCTCGAAACAGAAGCTAGCCGAATTTTCACCTGTGA